GTGAATCAGCTGTAGCCCGGCACTGATCCTGGGGCTTCTGCTAACTTAGCAAGCTGCATGTTTTCTGGCAAAGCTGAGCAAGTGAACTGGGCAGAGCTCTCCTCTGCCTCTGGCAGCCTGTCCCCCTCCCCTTGTCCCTTCCTGGGCACGGAGGGGGGAGGAAGGAAGGGACAAAGAGGGAGGGAAGTAAGGGACAATGAGAGAGGGAAGGAAGGAAGGAACAATGGAAAGGAAGGAAAGAAGGAAGGGACAATGGGAAAGAGGGAGGGAAGGAGGAAGAGACTAAGGGAGATGAAGGAAAGGAAGGAAAGAAGGAAGGGACAATGGGAAAGAGGGAGGGAAGGCGGAAGAGACTAAGGGAGGTGAAGGAAAGGAAGAAAAGAAGGAAGGAAGGGACAATGGGAGAGAGGGAGGGGAGGAAGAGATTAAGAAGGAGGTGAAGGAAAGGAAGAAAAGAAGGAAGGAAGGGACAATGGGAGAGAGGGAGGGAAAGGAGAGAAGAGACTAAGAGGGAGGTGAAGGAAAGGAAGAAAAGGAAGGGACAAGGGGAGAGAAGGGAGGGAAGGAAGGCAGGCACCTACCCTAGTCCCATCCCAGAGACCCACAGATTCCCCCCCACAGGCACTCTGCAATCTGAGTGATCAGCTGGCCACGCCCCCTGGCCATTGATCACGTGACCCTGGGACACTGTGAATGTCATAAGTATGAATCAGTTGTCAAACATCCGAATGTAAATCTCATGACCCTGGGGATGCTGCAACAATCATAAGTGTGAAAAATTATCATAATTCGCTTTTTCAGTGCTGTTGTAACTTCAAACAGTCACTAAGCGAATTGTTGTAACTCGAGGACTACCTATACTTTCTCAAATTTTCCTCTTTATTTTTTGGTCAAGTTTTTGATAGCCCCCGGCCAGCTGGATCGGGGGTTGGGGGTCACCAGAACATGAGGAACTGTATTAAAGGGTCGCAACATTAGGAAGGGTGAGAACCACTGTTCTAGCACCTTCTAGTTACCTGGTTGGATAATGAAATGTCTGCAAGAAAACAAACTCAGCACTAAGTTTCCCACAGATTATAACCTTTAAAAAAAAATCTTCATAATTAGTCAGATTATCTGTTCTGATAAAATCTAAGAAAATTGTACACTGTACATTGTAAAAAAAAAATCCATCATATTTGATAGTAATCTTGTTAACAACCAATGCTTCCCAAACAATAAAATGCATTATATGAACTGTAACCAGACAGTACTGCATTACCTTTGCACCACCCATATTTTCTAAATAGCATTTTAATGCAAGATAGATAGTGCAATTTGATGGCTCCATAGATGTGACAAACAGGTTTGCTAAATAGTGTCATAGAAGAAGATGCAGCAACATGCTAGAGCTGAACTATACTCTATTGGAATCAGAAGAAAATGTGTCCTTGTATATGAGTGATGGGGAAGGTCTGCTTGCATCAGCTCCTCTAGATAATGACCTCATCTAACCAGAGCATGAGACTGAACCATAAAGTATAAAGATATATATCCAAAGTGACACCGAGGAAGCAAATACTGTGCATTGTTAGTAACCAGTATTCTGGGGGGGGGTAGTTTTAATTTTATAAGTTATTACTTTTTTAAAAGCTAAGAACATTAGCAAATGTGTTTAATGTGCATATTGTTTTAGAGCTAAGATTATCTTGTAATTACTTTAGCATTATAGAAAAGCTGACAGACACAAGCTCTCCGTTAACACACATTTTAATGCCATGCATTTTACTTGAATGTTTCCCAAATAGCTTGTCTAAAAGCCTCCATTTGGTTCTGGAAAAGGAGCCAAGCTAAAAAAATCACAGAACAACCAGGAATGAAGTGACACAATTATTAAAGTTCAGGTGCCTCTGTCCTGTTTGAATTAAGAAACAGTGTCTGTTTCCTCCATTAATCTGAAGGGAATTCCATAGCTGGATACTCGTTGATCTGATTTGAAAGTTATGGAGGGTAAGAGCTTCAGTGATTACTAGAAATTTTTAGTATTGGGAACTTAGAACAGGGGTCCCCAACCCCCGGTCCATGGACCAGTACTGGACTGCAGCATGCCAGAAACAGGGCCACACAAACAAGCAAAGCCCCATCCGTGGGATGCAGGCAGTACATAAAACCACGCCCCCCTCCGGTCCGCAGAAAACTTCTCTCCACGGAACTGGTCCCTAGTGCCCAAAAGGTTGGGGACCTCTGCCTTAGAATATCAATTGATATAATTAAAGTCTATAAACATTGTACATTAATCAGAGTACAACAAAGGAGAAGTTGGAAAGTATATTTATCTACAGGATTTTTAGTAATTTTCTTTGCCCTTATTCTCTTTTCTCTTTTTTTGCATCTTAAATGACAATTGGCACTCAGCTCAGGGATCTAGATTCTTGCTACATTGTTAAAATTGTATAATATACTTAATGTTTCTTTATAGTTAATTTCTAGTAAATATGTGTTGTTCCATCTGTACAACTTTGGGAATTCCTTTGTTACTTACAGATATTTATACATCTGTATACAATATAGAACAATATTATTCTATACTATTTTTGCTTTCTCTTATTGCTTGCTGGTTCTCTTTCTTTTTATTTTAAATGTGATTAATTAATAAATAAAAAACAGTGCAGTTAGTATCCTACTTTGAACACTTGGTCACTATGGGAACAGATTGGTGGACCAGATAGGTAATTGATCAGTTGTAGCAGAATTCTGATGTATATGCATTTTTAAATTTATCTCATTGACTTGTGGTGATCCAACAGTTGGATCACCCTTTAAATGTGACAACTTCCTTAATGACAAAGATTACTGTAACCAGAAGCTTTAGACATACTTTTTAAGGTAAATCAACAGTATGGAACAAAGATAACTTTTAATTATAAATTTGATACTTTGAGTCAAGCAGGAGGAACTTAGAAAAGTGAGGAGACATTCTCCATCCTTAACTTTTAGTAGTATGGACCTCTGCAGAACAAGTGAAAAGAAAGAAGTCTGTTATTTTAATAGAGATTGGCAGTGTAGAAATGGAATGAATGAATGAATGAATGAACGTACATATCTCCCCTAAAGAATCTCCAAATTAATTAATAAAATTGTATCTCTTATTCAGCCAGGCTTATTGTGTTGCATCTTTTTTCACAGATTTGGAGGTGAAATAATATTTATATTTTGTAAAACTGCTTATCTTTTCATTCCTCCTGTTTTATTCTTTTTGTCTGTTTTCTTGTAAAGTGTGCATAATTAATTTCTCTAAAATGCAATACATAATTTCAAATAAATTATTTTCACTGTTCTATTTCTGTGGCATATGCAGCCACATAGTTAGTGAATTTTGGAAACAGCCTTTTTAGTGAGCAGACAGCTTTTGTCTTTGCCTTATATTTTTTTCTCACCCAGATGGAAAAAAATCCACATCAGTTTTGAATTCTGATGTAACCTTTTTAATATCTTGTAAGTTTATTTTGAGAGGAAAAGTGTTAAATCAGATTTGGTCTAAAATGTGTTAATGGAAAAAAAATGAAATGATGCATTTTTGTAACCTAATTGTAAAGAGGTAACATAGTTGCAGAAACAACAACTATAAGTCCATACTGCCATCTAGTGATTTCAGAACAATTAGTAATGAAGTTAGGAAAGGTTTTTTTCAACAAAATGTATTGCCATTCTAGATATAACCAACATCTTATTTTTTATTTTATTTTTGAAACTCAGCATTTTGGAATTATTTTCTTTCAGATATTGTACTTAATGTAATGTATTGTACATAAATATGTGAATTTGTTTACCATCTCCATATATATCTATAGGGTTATACACTTTTATTTTTCCTGTACAGCATGAATAAAATGGCAATGCACTTTCACCTTTGAAACATGAATTAGACTTTTTAACTTGTGAAGCAGCTAATGCAATCCACTTTAATTGGCACCACTCATTAATAATTTGATAAGCCAGGATATTTTAATTGCAGCAAAATCTCTTAGAGTATTATTGAGTTGTAGAACTTTACTTGTGCTTTGAAAAGTCTTCACAATGTATGAGAGCAGATTCAAAGCACCTTTGCTTAAATTATTAAAGCAGCCATATTTTTTTTCCCAAGCTCATATTTTAGAACACGGGCTCAAACTCGCCACATCATGTGACATGCCGCGATGTATCGCAACTCTTTTTGCATTACTGGCAATGGGGTGGGCATGGCTTCAGTATGATGAAACCAGTCCACGGGCCTGCAGTTTGACACCCCAATATCATGTGTATTGTACAGCATTTATTTCAAAGCATCAACCACCCAAATGGGTTATTTAGAAACTAACAAGATTTTTAAAGCATTACTAATAAATGATATTTTTAGTAAAAAAGCAATTATTACAACGTCATTGTAGAAAAATCATAACATGTCAATTACATTATTCACTTCCTTGATAATTTCCTTTAACTAACATATTGTTTCCTTCCAATGTAATTTGACTAAATTATCTAACCACTCTGTATGTCAAACCAGCAGGCTGCAAAGGTTGTTTTCCATTTAAACAGACAAACAACAATAACAATTTTAAAAGTTTACATTCTATATAACATGTAATCTGCCCCATATTATAGTCTTCTATGAAAAAAATGAACATAAATTGTTCTTAGATTGGTTTTCATGATGATTGTGTAGAAATTCCAGGCAATTATTTCCATATCTGGAGTACTGTATTCCTTATTTTATCCAAGATAGAAAATACAACTGATAGATCATTTTAGCCAAAAAAAATTTTAAAAATCAGTTAAAATGACTAGAAACATGTTTTAAAAAGGAAACAGATTAAAACAAAAACTCCTACCAAGCCTTTCCAAGATAGTGAGTATTATGGAATAACTACAACCTGGAAATGAATTTATTTATTTACTTTGTTAAAAATGTAATCAAAAAAGCAAATTTCCAGCAATAGCGAAATCCCCCAATCAAATGTTACTATGTTTTTCTCCCTTAGGAGGTGCTATATCTCCATGTGAGATGTACATTGAAGCTTTGGGACAAAATGAGGTGCTTGCGCAAACGATCCGCTGTATCCTTTCTAGGAGTCCTTGTCATTTGCTTGTTGTTCTTGAACTTATACATTGAAGATAGCTATGTCTTGGTAAGTTGGATATTATATAGAATTAATTGCTCTTTAATAGCACAGGATAACAAAAACAAGCAGACTTTCTAAACAAAAGCAAATAAAGTGCAAAACTCCAAAGGAAAAAATGAATTGTCTAGGGTAGTGTAAAGAAAGAGTTCTGGTTTAATTTAAATTTTCAGTTGATGATCTGATTCAAATTGCAATTAGTTTGATCTGGATTTTTAAATATTGTTAGCAAAGCCCTTCCAAATCACTGAATTAATTTAGAGGCACCTAATTCAATGGTTTGATTCAAATTGTCAGTCCATTTTGGAAAGGCATTTCCCTTTATAAATTTGGTCAAATCCTCAAATCAAATCTCTGTGCAGCAACATTAGTAAGGGAGAAAAAAAGGCATTTATACCAGCTCCTTGTTTAACAACCACACTACCTCAGTAACTGTTTGCAATAAACCAGTAATAAACCATAGTAAAACAAAAATCATTTTCTGACCAATGTGCAGACTCATAACCAAATTTCTGTGCCTAACAACAGTGCATGCTGGAGTCACAATAATGCTGGCATAGCTGCATGAGAGAGTTTTGCCTGAATTAGATGAGAGCAACCAGCAATCTTCACAGTCTCCCTCCCTCGTCTCCCCCCTCCCTGGTCACATGTTAACTTAGCAACCATTTTGCTTAACAACAAAATCACTGGAACAAATTGCAGTTACTAAATGAGGAAAGGGTGCACTGACAAAAAGATGAAATAAGACAAATATAACAGTCTTTGTTAGAACCTTATTCCCACATGATTTTTTGACTACAAATGAAACTGACAAAAAGATGAAATAAGACAAATATAACAGTCTTTGTTAGAACCTTATTCCCGCATGATTTTTTGAGTACAAATGGAACAGCAAATCTATATAATGCTAAACCTCTCATTTCCATAACTTGAATTGTGTGAAACAATGCATCACAGGGCAACAGTTTTTAAATCAATACACTTGCAAATAGGCTAACTCAATTATGCACCCAAAGGAATGAAATTCGGGGAAGTTGTATCTGTTTTTGGGGTTGCTGGGCTGTATCATATAATGCTTATTTTATATATTCCATGACATTTTCCCAGTTTCCCAGCCACTGTTGCAATCCTATGGCCAGTGGTGGGATTCAAATATGTGAACAACCAGTTCTCTGTGTGGATGCCACTTCCAGAAGTCCATTCTGGGCCTGGGCAACAAAAAAATAGCTACCGGTTCTGCCAAAGTGGTACGAACCAGCTGAATCCCACCACTGCCTATGGCTCTTCCCATACCCAGCAGCAATCACTTACCTGTCTGCTGGGAAGGGAGAGAGAAAGAGAAACAGAAAGGAAAGGGAAAGATTTATAATGCTGCTTTTCAACTTCCCAGTAGAAAATTCAGTGTGGAAGCCAGCAGGAAGTCAGAAATCACTTCTGTTCCCACTGCCTTTTTACCCTCCCATGGTCATTCAGATTCCCTGTTTAGATAAGGAAGTATCTCTGAAAGAATGGCTCAGCTGGTCAAGGGTTGTCTGGTATCACCCTAAGAATCCATATTCAGTATAATGAAGGTTACTATTGGTCAGAAGTTGTAGCACGGTGGAAATAGAATTCCATATGCTGCTGTAAATATGTTCTTCTTTCTCAGAAACTGGATTCCTTCAAAAAAAAAAAATTCAGACCCAGTAAGAAATATCAGGGCAAGGAACATATAAATTGCTTGCAGACTTAGGTCAAAAGTTTGTCCATACCACCATTCTGTTTTCAACAGCATGTAGCTAGATTTCTCTGCCAGCCAAAGATATGGAATTGATGGGTAATAATTTGATGTTCACAACCATACAGTCAAAAATGACTTCTATCGTTCCTTCTTGCATGGGAGACTTCTAGAGAATCTGATTTTTTTTTAAGGACCATTTGACTTAATCAAAATACCTTTTCCAACTGACTATAATTCATGTTTGATTTGATACAGATTTTATCACTGACAAAATTTGCTTTGGTAGATGAATATTCCAATTTTAATCACATTTCTTTTTACAAGTAAGAAAATTCCCTGTTTAGCCATTTTAGGGTTTTGAAATATAGCTTCTTCTAACGGCACTGTTTGTATTAAAATATTTTGTAAGATTTTATTTATTCACACCCTCTCACTTGTGATTCAATTTGATCTGGTTTATATCATGTTTTTGTCACATTCATTGATTCACTTTTGGTTTGCTAATTACTCGAGATCCTCTAGGTGCATCCTGTTGCTTTCTATTTATTGCATTTTATGCTATTTCTATTTTGCTTGTTTTCAGATCTTTATGTGAACTTCCCAGATGGCATGATGTCTTACACTTAATTTGTCTTTTTTTAAATAATAAAAAAGGTTTGTCCCTCATTGTTTCTTTTAAAACAAAACTGATACATTTAATTGCCAAGTCTCAGCTTTGCTTGTCTAATTCTCCTGAGATTTTTAAGGCCCATTCAGAGAATGCATTTAAATATATTATGAAACCAAGTTTCTGTTGACTATAGGTAGGAACACAAATTATAGTTTAAGCAGACCACAAGCAGGTAAAGATTGAGAATTTCTATTTTGCTTTGATGTTTTTTATCACTTAATTTCATACATAATTTTTGATCCATTCTGAATTCACATTGAACAGCAAAGTACCTTTAGAAATAATCAGATCAGATTTTTATAGCTTTCATAAAGCTACCAACCCACCAAAATTCAAATGTCAGAATACAGACACATTGTTTCCTACCAAGTTTTACAATTTTTTTTAGAAAAAGAAGAAACTCTCCTACCTTTCCTTAATGTTTCTCTGCAATGTTTCTTCAAGAACTGCTATAGCTAGCTGTGGGACATTATGAATCAATGATATTATGACATCATTGTCATTTTTTCTGCAAAACATTACTAAAAAGTTCAGCTAAATATGATATTGGATCAGTTACAGCTCCCTGTAAACAATGTGTTTTTCCTACTTCTAGTTTAGTGTATCAGGTGAACAGGAAATCATAGCTTATTGATAGGTTAGTTTTGTTTTGCAACAAACCTGTAATCAATCCACAGAGGTTCAAGGCAAGATTGCCTTAGAAAGGATATACAACAAATCAGGAATTGGCCAAATGATTATCCTGCTCATCTGTCTTGTTTTTAGCTTATTCAACAAACCATGATTAAAATAATTAATCGTTTATTTTCATTTGTAAATAGATCCAGTATAGATGTTGAACTTTAGCAACAACACTAGCACTTAGACTTATATAACGCTTCACAGTGCTTTACAAACCCTCTCTAAGCAGTTTACAGAGTCAGCATATTGCCCCAGCAATCTGAGTCCTCATTTTACTGACCTTGGAAGGATGGAAGGCTGAGTCAACCTTGAGCTGGTGAGAATTGAACTGCCGAACTGCTGGCAGCTGCAGTATTGCAGTTCTGCATTCTAACCACTGTTAGAAATCAAGCTTTTGATTTCTTTGCTTGTTTCTTTGTTTTCCTTTTTTTCTCTTTATGATCACAGCTCTCAGCTCTTCTGATTTCTCCATTATATTATTTGTCTTCTGATTAATAAAGAAGATAAATGGTTTCATTATGTTTTCTAAAAGCTTTGGTATTTGAAATCTAAAAGCATAGGAAACAACAAACATTTTAAAACTTTCCAGTTGTACTTAGATGTGTAATCCTCAGGACCCTGAATGAACACATGAAAGTGATTGAGGCAGTGATAATAGAAGTGCAACACAAGTTAGAATGACCTTCCTAATGTTAACAATATTTGCCTTTTATGCCAGATGAAGACCTGATTTTAATCACTCACTTTTTCTAAGTCCTTTTTCTAAACATGCTATTGCCCCTTCACTGCTTCTCTGTCAGTGAGACATATGTAATATATCTTTCACTTTAGCTCATTATGTATTACACTTGGTCCTATTGTTTTATCTTAATTAATTAATATAACCTACCAATATATATCCTTCAAAGAATGAGCAGTTTATAAATAAGTAGAGAGGTCATGTCAAACAAGAGTGAATATAGACATTTGATGTCAGAACATAGCTGGAAAATATTTAGTAACCCTCCCCCCTTTCATGATCAAATTTTCTGCTTCACCTCCTTCTTTGGTAAATTCCCAGTCACCTTTTTCAGAGTGACTCAGTGAGAGAGGAGAGAACAAGAAAGAAGTTCAGTTTACTTTGTAATCTTCCCTTGGGAAAGGTATGGAGAAAAAACAAATTGGCACAGGCAGCTAAGAGACAAAGGAAGAGGTGAGAAGACACACAGCTGTCAGAAATTGGAAATAGATTGCATTACTGCTGAGTCTTTTCAAAAGATGCAGACAAAATGCAAGGACATTGACTTCTTTGAATTTTTAAGTGTATTTAAATTTCTCTTGTTTCCAGGCATGCACTATGACTAAAACTGCTTACCAGCATTAACCACATTAAACTTCCATGAAAAAGGACTAAAATTCAGTGCAAGAGCTCCTTTGTGAAATTGCAACAAAGTAGCTTTTGCATGAATATCCCCTGAGACATAGACCAGAATACTGGTAGAGGAAACCTAGCTTTGAGATGCATTAAAGAAGGCACTTATACAGAAGAGATAGATGAATCACAGGGAAGCATTGTTCACACAATCAAATTTTGTATTAGTGAAATCACATGCAGTGCTTATTTCAAAGAAAATCTGAGATCCAAGCTTCTAGCCTTAATTTCCAGGAGTAGGAGAAAGCAGATTTTACAATAAAAGTATTATATTACTCTCTTTTTATTAATCTGTAGTAAAAAGCCAGGGGTACATTGAGCACTCTGACTTAATTAAATGAAACATTAATTAACATTCAAAATATCCACACAGAATAGAATAATAACAATAACCATATTGCAAAACAACATTTTAATTTATGATTATTTAGCTAAATAATGAAATATTGACTATCAGAGATGGCCTTGAAGGAGAAAAGACCACATCAGACTGGAGTGAACTCATGGGACTTCCATATGGAGACATTCACGTTGTTTTAGCATGGCATGTTGGGCAACTGAGTGGACCTCCTTCTATCTCAACTGTGTCATAAGAAGAATTTTTAAACTTTTATTTTCAGTCTAAACACTCAAGTTCCATGCGATTTGGAGTCAATCAATTTTCCCATTTACAGGAGCTCTTATCTTGCTGTCTTCTGAAGTCAGAGGTTTGTAACAGATAAGACTTTATCCTTTAACCTAATTTAATCCTAGAAATCAGAATCTTATTGATTTTACAATCCCTATACAACCCTTGATTTTCCCTTGTTATACAAACTTAGTCATTTTCATAAATCCATTAAATTTCTCAATTTTCCGCTACTAATGTAACATCCACTACCCTCTTTCCTATAACTTTGGGTGCAACTGCAGGAAAAATGCACTAAACTGCTAGACAGTATCGAGTTAATACCTAAGATAGATAGATAGATAGATAGATAGATAGATAGATAGATAGATAGATAGATAGATAGATAGATAGATAGATAGATAGATAGATAGACGGACGGACAGAATTATGACTTTTGGCAGTCTTCTGGTCTCATAGAGGAAATACTATTGGCTCCTGTGATTCTTTGCCATTGATTCAAAGAAATCAAAATTAATAAATGTGACAGTTCTAAACAAACAACTTCAGTCTGTTACCAAAGCAAAAAAAAAAAAAAAAATAGGCAGAGTTCATTATTCTCAAACAAAAGGGATTGGATTCTAACCCATTACATTTTGGAGTATTTAACATTACTTGCTTTCTCCTTACAATTTTTGGTAATTCCATACCTGAGAACTACCTATACCTACCTGCCACTGTGTCAAGGCTTTAACAACAAGAACAGTTGTTTGTTGCACTCCGGCCCCTCATCAACCACCTTTTAAATATCTAGATGCTTATAGTGTTTTGTCTTTGATCTTTTAGATAGCACATGTCATTGATCACAGAGGGTGTCCTCTCTGTTCCAGGGATTATTCTCCCATGCACTAAGACAGGCCATATCATTTTATCTCAGATATGTTCAGGCCATAATGTGCTGTTGTTGATGTTATTATTGTTTGGAGAGCTGTTCATCAAATGAACACAAACATCCTGATACTAGTTGAGTTTATTATCAAAACAAGAGTCAGATGAAAAGTGTCCTTGTTCAAAAAAGATAAGCTTCTAGATTATTTGACTGCCTGGGCAGGCAAAAAAAAAAAAAAAAAACCCTGTAAGGAGAATCTGAACTTTATTTTCACTGTAAACAAATCTTGCATTCATTCACAAAAATCACTAGAATTCTTAAACAATGACTTATTTACCTTTTTTATAATCAACCAATTTATCTGAGCTTTCATGTCTTGGAAACCTATTCTTGATGTTTTTTGTTGACCCAGCTTAGAGAAGTCTAACAACAATGACTACAGCCCTTTCAATTCTGGAAACATTTCCTAGAGGATCATAGAACAGACAGTTCTCACCAATCAGCTATACAAAAATAATTGTAATTAATTTTAGAAATGGAGTAAAGAGGTAAGTTAGTAAGTGTGGCACAGTAATACATAGGATCCAACACCTTCTACCTCCTGGACATTCCTGATCTTGAATCTGAAAAGGGACTAAGCCAGTGTTTCTCAACCTTGACAATTTTAAGGCATGTGGACTTCAACTCCCAGAATTCCACAGCCAGCAATGCTGGCTGTGGAATTCTGGGAGTTGAAGTCCACATGCCTTAAAATTGTCAAGGTTGAGAAACACTGGACTAAGCAAACATTCATTTCCAACTCTACAAACTGTTAAGTATTCAGATATCATGGAAACTGAGTGTTATAAATCTCCAATACTATTGATTTGAATAGTACCTAGTTTTAATTGATAACTGTGGCATAATGGGAAAAAAGAGTGCTTATAAAATCAGAGGAAATGTTTTAAAATAGTGGAGAGATGAGGAAAATATAGTATCCATTTTGTATCTTGGTCCAGCATGCCAGTACAGATTCATATTTATAAATATGAATTTCCATTCTCCGCATTCATTATCAAATTTTGGCTCAATTTGATTAATGATGCTTTGGATGTCAGTGATAATGTCTTCATTTGGAACTGCCATGTTAAACATGTCTATAACTGGAATAAATGTAAAGACTGAAGCAGATAAATAAAACAAGATATTGTTCATATTGTTAGATTTTTTCCCTCCACTTCTTACAATAGTTATGCTGTGTATCTTTTATTTTGTTTTTTCTTTTCTCTTTCAACTTTTAGAATGGAGATAAGCAGTTAATCAGAGATACGGCAACGCATCAATTAAATTCAGAGCGGTATGTTCACAGTTTTAAAGATCTGTCCAACTTCTCAGGATCAATAAATGTTTCCTATCGCTATCTGGCTGGTACACCTTTACTAAGAAAAAGTAAGTAACAGATTTTTTCCATTTTCTTAACAACAAATAGTTTTTTTTATCTACTCTAAATGTCACAAAGAAAATGTTGCAGAAGTAAGTTCATCAGCTTTTTAGAGAGCAATGCCATTAAATTTTTCACAGAACATAAAAAGCTTATATGCAATCCAAAAGAAGAGAGAATGAAAAGGGCTCTGTAATCTCACTTAACAGGGGAACACCCTTTGAATCCGCCTAGAATTTGATCTTTACATGGTATAAAAGTAAATATGTCCTCAAGATGAGCTCAACTTCTGGGGGACCCCTGGACATGCTTGCTAGCTGTATTGAAGCAGCTTGACATTGCTTTCTTCCAGAAGGATATTCTGGGAAACGTGTTCTCATTAAGCAACTAATAGCAATTTTGCTCATGAAATCATATATTGCTCCCACAAAGTACCTGATCATACAGGTGAATTAGGGCAGAAAAGCTAGTTTACCCAATGCAACAAGTCATTCTTTTTTTAACCAAAAAAATAAAAATAAAAATGAATCAACCTCAACTTGCCAGAATTTGCTAAGGCTTAACTATGTTTCCAAACTATCATCAGTAGATGCATACAAAATTCTAAAGCAAAAGCAAACAAATCATATTTTGGCCCATTATATATATATATAAAAAAAAGACCTACCACATCACATCATTTCTCTCTAGGATCCAGAGACTTATAAATGAGTTTATGTAATCTGGAATTCTAAAATAAAGTAATGAAGACTTCATCAGAAGCTATAATTAATAATCCATAAGTATATTGTATTGAAAAATATTTGATGCAAAAACCATATAATGTTATCAAATAATCCTTTGGTATTCAATAGATACTATTAACAGCTTAAGCCAGCATTCTTAAATAATTGCAGTCCAAATGCAAACCCAGAGAACTTGAGCAGTTAACTATCTATGGGGAATGGAATATCTTGCATTCAATGAGAGAAAGAGAATGCAAGTTCAAAAAAAGGAAGTAGTGGAATTTGAGAAGTGGTCTTCTTTAATGGAACATACAGAGAATTTAGCCATAGACTAAGTAAAAGTAAGCAAGCAAAAAAATATATTAAAAGATGTAGCTTCTTGTTACAGTAGTGAAGGAGAAAAATCCCAAAGCTTATTGCTATAGCAAAGAAAGAAATGTACAGATGTAGTTTTAAATTTCTTGCTACAGCAAAGAAAAAAGTAAAGATTTTAAAGATGTTGCATTACATTAACACCACATAAACATATTTAAATGCTAAGCAGGGAACATCTCAGCATATTGAAGGTCACAGCTTAACTTGGAATCTGAGAATAAAAAGAGAGGTTGTTTTCTAGGCAAGAAAGAGGGGAAGGGTCTTTAGTTGATGAAAGGAGAATGAGGGGGAGAGACAGAGAGAGGGGGAGAGAGAGAGAGATTCCATCAGAACTAGGCCACCAGGTTATATACATGGACATAAACTTATCTTTCTTTCAGGGATTTCTATCCTGAGGCACAGTTAGTGGCTACCTAACAAAAATGGAAGAAAGAAAAATGATAGAAATTAAAAGAATATCAGGAAATGATAGGTTTTGCCAGCTGAGTTCTTTTATGACTTTTCTCCTGGGATGAACAAAGCACTACAAGCACCATTGTTAGTTCTGGCTTGTTCAAAGAACTTGCATGCTGTATTTTAATAATGATAGCTATATAGAGACAGCTATCATGTGTGTGTGTGTGTGTGTGTGTGTGTGTGTGTGTGTGTGAGAGAGAGAGAGAGAGAGAGAGAGAGAGAGAGAGAGAGAGAGAGAGAGAGAGAGAGAGCTTATAAATAGCTAAAACTTTGTAGAAATTAAGGGGATTCTTAACTCTTCTTTGTTTCCAGGCTCTTAAAAATAGATCTTTGTTTGTTTGGATGAGCATGAGCAACCATCCCCAGGTTCTGTATCCACATTTACCAAGTGGTAATTTTGATACAACAGCAACTGCTTTCACTGCTTGTTAGAAATGTGCCCTCATTTCTCCTTAAATGATAAGGCAAACATACCAGATGCAATAGAGAAGATATGGTTTATAAAACTATCAGTTGTGGTGCTTTGAATTCAAAGTGACAAAATTATGTCTCCCAAGCAATTTTGAAAGGCTAATTCAAAATATATTCTTACATGAATCCAGATAGACTTAAGTACAATTAAAATCCCATCACTTTCAATGGAAGACATTTTAGCATAATTTAGCTCACCCACTAGAACACATACAGTCTAAAAATCCACCACTTGAACTGTAAGAGGCCCTGTATTTTTTGAGATAGGGAGATGGATGGATGGGCAGACAAAGCAAAATGTTCACTAAGAGATATATGCAAGGAGGATTGTTTCCAAAGCAACAAAGGCAAAAAGGGAAACGTCCTGCTGGACATGCACAATTATTTCTTGGTTATGTTTTTATCTTCCAGATCATTTGTTATGAATAAGAACCAAATTTGCTTTTATTGCTCAGTTCTATAGAATTTAAAATATTTTTTTTTGTTATTATTATTCAGGATATCTTACCATTGGATTATCTTCAGTCAAACGGAAAAAAGGGAATTATTTGCTGGAGACAATCAAGTCCATATTTGAGCAGTCAAGTTATGAAGAACTGAAAGAAATTGCTGTGGTAGTACATCTGGCAGAATTTGACTCCACCTGGTGTGATAACATGGTTCAAGATATTTCACAGAAATTTGCCCATCATGTAATTGCTGGCAGATTAATGGTAATCCACACACCAGAAGAATATTATCCAGCTTTGGATGGGCTTAAGAGAAATTACAATGATCCAGAAGACCGGGTGAAATTTCGTTCCAAGCAAAATGTTGACTATGCATTCTTGCTTAACTTTTGTGCTAACCTTTCTGATTATTATGTAATGTTAGAAGATGATGTTCGATGTGCAAAAAACTTTTTGACTGTTATTAAAAAAGTCATAACTTCACGAGAGGGAACCTACTGGGTAACTTTAGAATTTTCCAAGTTGGGTTACATTGGGAAATTGTATCATTCCCATGATCTCGCTCGCCTGGCTCATTTTTTATTGATGTTCTACCAGGAAATGCCTTGTGATTGGTTGCTGATACATTTCCGTGGGCTGTTGGCTCAAAAGGATGTCATACGTTTCAAACCATCCCTTTTTCAGCACATGGGATATTACTCATCTTACAAAGGAGCTGAAAATAAATTAAAAGATGATGACTTTGAAGAGGATTCATTTGACCTTCCAGATAACCCTCCTGCCAACTTGCATACCAATATGAATGTATTTGAGAATTATGAGGCGAGCAAGGCATATAGTAGTGTGGATGAATACTTCTGGGCGAAAGCACCCTCAACTGGAGATTTTTATGTCGTTGTCTTTGATAGGCCTCTTAAAATTAACAGAATCAAAGTTGTCACTGGTACTGAAGACCGACAAAATGATGTTCTGCATCATGGTGCTCTGGAAGTTGGGGAAAAAACTGTTGGGGGCAAAAAGGAAAGGCAATGTACTACTTTCCTGAGACTAGGAGAATTTAAAAATGGAAATTTGGAAATCATAGGTGTGGAGCACAAAGTTATTTTTGATATTAACTGCATGAGAATACTTGTTACCAAAAGCCAAAAGGAATGGTTGATCATTAGAAGCATTAGCATATGGATTTCACAGCTACCAAGTCAATAGGAAAATCAACAGCAACAGAATATACCATTGCCAAAATCCAATGAAATAGTGCCATGAAATGACTTTTTTTCCCAATCTTTTTGCTACAGATACTGGCAATCTGGAAATCACAAAACAAATAAAAGCAATCTAGTTTTTACTAGTTCAGTGAGGCAATATTCAAAGTATTTGTTGGAATGTCTGAATTTTATAGAAAGTGTAAACAAGTTTTGTCCATCACTCAAACACAGATCCACTTCTTTGTTGTTTCTTCTCTTTTCCCCTTTGGGAAGGACTGGTTGTGTTTTTGACATTGTACAATTTAAGGATTTTGTGGGCTTATGTCCATAGATTGTCAAAGGAATTTAACTCCCTCATGTTCATGTGTGAATTAAAAATGTGGTGGTTTGTATCTGTACAGTGGTTGGTGGCTTGTTTTGAGATAATTTTGATAAAGAAGTCCTGTTAATACAGCTGATGTTCTCTACTGTGAGCATTATAAAAAAAGATATGTTGAAATTACATTTGAAATTACACAATTGGTTATAAATCTGTACTTATCCTGTAAACTGCAGTAAGTATTCTTGAATTCTCTACAAACATTACATATTCTAGCACAATTTATTATCTTGAATTGATGGGGTAACTGAATTTCATCTATCTTTAATTTCCACTTTTCATTGTTCAAAATAGATCTATACCTTTATGTGAAATATTATTCAAGGTTTTATGCAAAACTATGATTTTTACACTTGTGTAGAATGCAAATGATTTTAGTAAGCTGAACCTAGACATGCAAGAATATTAAGAATTATGTATTATGTGAGATCACAATGAATTCTACAAATGATTTGTTATGCACACATATTCCCAGGAATATTTAGAGCTGTAATACAAATATGGAACCTCTCTTTCAATATAAGAAATATAACAAAATACTCAATGATAAGGTATGTGAATATAAAAACCTGCCTTATATTGACTAACATTCCACATTTTTATTTTTTAGTTATAATATTTCTATCACCACTTTTCTATAACCTCAGAACTTAAGATTCCCAGTTCTATTCCAGCCTTGACCAGGCACAAACTTGCTGTCTATGTGGTATGCCTTGAAGCCATGCTCCAGGTTTTATTGCCAATGATTTAGGCCAAGGTTGTCACCAGCCATTCCAGTCAAACTGCTTTGAAACTGGAAATATTATAGAATAATGTTAGAAAACGTGTTTTTTCCCCACAAAATATGCTATGGTGCTGAACTATAACATCTCTCTACAGAATTTCCTACCAAGGAGTCCCAGCACACCAACTGACAGTCTCACGCATTGGGAGTGGGATTTGATCAAATAAGCACCCTGCTTACAATGGATTGGGAGTGGGATTTGATCAAATAAGCACCCTGCTTACAATGGATTCCTGCCGATTTTTGCATTGTCACAAATACACAATAGTGCTATTGCATAGCTTCATTCCATTTCAGTATGTCTTAATAATATTTTGTGCCCTTTACCTTTTTTGCAAACTATAAATAGGGAAGTGTATGGGTGACTGCATTTTTCATTATAGTATGTTATGAAAAATATTTTTCATGATCCACTCCATGTCTTCTTTTCTATAGAATTTTTAGCATTGCTCAACCTCCACAAGACATGGATTATTTGTATCTTGAGAATTCCCCTTTTCCCTCCCATGTTTAATTCATGGAATATATAATTTACTTTGCATCTGTGACCATAATCCTTTGTACGTAGTGACCATCTGTATATCCTTTTCTGCTACAAGGAAACTTGTGATTCTTTGATCAGACATTCATGATGTGCCTTAAGGCTATTTGTTTTTCCTTATAGTGACTGACATTCTTTATTTCATGTAATTATATTTCCCTGTTTGTCTGATGCTCTTAATTTTTTTGACTTCTGTTTATTTCTGTGATTTTTCATGACACATATTTCATAGCTCTATACATACATTCCCATTGCACAGGAAAAAAAATGCTATGGCTATTAGATCGAAAAATTCCAATTTTTGCTATGAATGAATTCCCATAAAGTTTTAAATAAGAAAAAAATAGGAGTATCTTGATTTTATTCTATGGAATTGCTAGAGTAATTCATAAACCTCTCCCCAAATCTTTCTGAGTTGTTTTTCATATATAAGCTTAACATCTTTCCTTAAACCTCCCACTCCCAAAACACATACACAAACTGTAGTGATATTTCATACTACTAAGCTAGAAGTAGTTGTCATTGTGCACAGACTGTGAAATTGGCATTTCTGAAGCCTTAAGTTGGAGGTGATGTTCATTGTGATAACTGATGTCAGTTGTGACAGCAGCAGTGATAAATTACTATGGAAACAACAATAAAGAATTTCCATTCTCATATTGATCTAACTGACAAAATGGAAAGTAGTCTCCATTTGAAATTTAAGTTTTTTTTAGTTTATACTACTCTACAAAGAGAAAAAAAATGTTTAGCATTTCTACAAGTGAAGCTATCTGCCCAGGTATACATACAGTAGTGGCCAAAATTGTGGAAACCTTTTGGGAAAAGTGTATTTTTGAGGTTTGATGGCTAATAACACCACTTTTTTTGGAGTAGTACCATAAAATTATATATCAATGGAAAGATAATTTAATCAAGAATGTAATGCAACCAAGCTTGTTCAATTATCTGTACTGTATTCTATGAAAGGTTATAGCCAAATAACCAGAAAAAGGAAGCACAACTTGCTTAGGTTGATATCAGCTAGCTTTCCTTCATCTGATTGTAGCCAATGAGCATGAGTGTTTAGAGAGCCAATCAGTTGTCATCTTGTTTTGGCAATGAGCCAATCAGATCACAGTAGGATTCAGTTATTGATGTCATGTATAGAAGCTGAGAGGAGGACATTTGTCAGTGTGTTATGTGATCGTTATCAAGTTGGTTGGTTTTTTTTTTCCTTTCATTTAGTGAGCTTGTAAAATGTAATAAAATTAAAGTAACGGTGCAAAGAGTTGACTGGTTGCCCAGAAAGCAATGTAAAATAGTATTATTAAGTGAACAAGGCTACAGTTCTAAAGAAATTACAAGGAAAAATGGTGGAAACTTAACCAAAGGTGACATTTCTAGTGTACACTTTTCCCAAAAGGTTTCCACAATTTTGGCCACTACTGTATCATATCTGAATATAAGAAAAGAAAAAACTCTGTCCCTCTAATCAGAAAGATTTAAAACCTCTTTCAAAGTTTCATACTCTCAATCAACTGACAGGGTTTGAAGATCTCATGGTAGTGGTAGGTTCTATGCTTGCCTTAATTTAGCTTGACAGCTAGCCATGCTATGTATACACTTGATCTTCACAGAATGCAGGATAAATGTGTTTATATGTTAGCATATAAAGAACATCCATTTTGCATTGTCTGCATCCAAACTGGTACATAGGTCATTTGGTTTGCATATAAATTGAAAGGAACATGCTTTGTAGCAGATGCAGACTAAAACATTGTTTTCAGCAAAAGTGTTTTGGAGTGTTAAGAATGAGAAAAAGCCAAGGACACTGGTAATGGTGGCTAAAGGAGACAGGGAAATGAGAAAGAGAAGATAATGAAAAGATTGGGATGCAGTCAGCCAATAGCCTAGGCCTGTTCCAATTTCTTCCTGCTGATACACATGGATTGACCCCAAGGGTACAGCTGATATTAGAATATAATCAATGAATAATGACCATTCATTGGGGGGGGAGTGTAACAAAATAACAACTGGTGTACTAGTGAGGGAATAGACCATTGCCTATTGGGATTTCTTCAACTATTTCACTAGATTATCACTACTTCATTATTGCAAACATCAACAGTTGAAGCATCAGTGAGAGGATTATTTTTTATTAACCAAATGGCCAGCAAAGTAATCTAAGAAAGGAAGACATTACAAATTAAAAGAAAACTATGATTTGTGATTGTTTTTACAAATAAATGCACCTCCAGTTTAAAAAATCCTACAGTTATACAGCCTATCCACCCTCACACATGTTTCTTTCACATGCATAAGAACCTTTCTTTGTTTTCTCTTCCCCTCCCTCATTTTCTCTCAAATACATAAAAACACATAGTATTTGGGTGAGCCTCGGTGTGACATTACTCTTCCCCAATTTCATCCCACTGGATGTCAGGACAGGACAGCTATGGATGACTGAAAATGGCAGCAAAAAGATGTTTAATTTTTGAAGTTATGTACAGGTAGTCTTTGACTTTCAACAGTTCGTTTAGTGACCAAAGTTACAACAGCACTGAAAAAGTACCTTATGACCAGTTTTCACACTTACAACTATTGATGCATCCCCATGGTCACATGATCAAAATTCAGATACTTGGCAACTGGCTCATATTTAGACGGTTGCAGTATCCCGGTGTCATGGGATCACCTTTCATAACCTTTTGACAAGCAAAGTCAATGAGGAAGCCAGATTCACTTAATAACCATGTTACTAATTTAACCACTGCAGTAATTCACTTAACGACTGTGGCAAGAAAAGTCATAAAATGGAGCAAAACTCACTTAACAAATGTTTTACTTAGCAACATAGATTTTGGGCTCAATTGTGCTCGTAAATCAAGGACTACCTGTATTAGTCATGTATATTTTTGCCGTCTAGATCTGACAGATGGAGGATTGCAGTAGACAAAACTATTAACAAAGGTGGATGTGACAGAGGGTAGAGGTGGACAGAGCAAAACTATCCAGACTATCCAGAATAAATCTTAAAATCTGCCCATCATTTTATTGTGATTTACTTTTGTATTGATTCCTGGACTGGCTTGGATTTATGAACTGCATTATTATTTATGAACTGTCTTCTACAATAAAACTTTACAGATCATAATTTAACTAAATGTCTATGGAGATTCTCAGTCATCCAGGTCATGGTTGTCCCAAAGCTGAAGAAGCTTCTTGGATGAGAAGTGAAACATCTTCAAAGAAAAACAAGAAAGTCCAGTTGCTTCCTGAAAAAGCATCTTTGGGACATAATTTAACTATTTTAGGAAACACAGAAATTACCTTATCAGAGTTTAAAATATTGATCCATTAATCTGATACCATCTATGCTGACTGGCAATATCTCTCTAGAATTTCAGAGATGGAATATTTCCAAAGTCCATATCAAGATTTAGGAACTGAGACAGAAATGTTAGGCTTTCAAAATATATTTTTCTGAAGAATTTGTGGTCCATTACATATTATACTCTGCCTACATTATCACAATTCAGTAGCCCTATCGCAAGTAGCTGCATTTTTTTATGCAGCTGCACATTTTCTGGTAATATAAAAGTTGGAAAAATTTGTACCTTCTTTTTCAGGACTCTAGCGAGGCTTTTCATATTTTAGACAGATATGTAATGTCTAAATGAGCTCTTTGTGCATTAGAAAAAAAATCTTCCTAAAGGATTTCCAAGCTGAGAGATCAGTGTGTTCCTCTCTCCTCAGGGTATAATTACTTTCCCAATAGTCAACTTATGAAAGGTAGCACAATAAATTCTTGTACCGGTCCTCTTAGGAATGCAGTGGCCATAATTGAAAAAATTGGTACCATTTCCATTGCACTGAAGAAAAATTATGATGAAGGAATGTCTGTACAGACATGCCAACAGGAAAAGAAGTCAAATTCTGCATTGCATATGCCAGTAAGGCTCTTTGAAAAGGACAGATTATTCATGTAGCTGCAAGAAGTAGTAGGCCAATAGCTTTCTTGAATCATAAATCAAACTAACTTTAGATGTGGCTTGGCAAAGAAAAAAAACTATTTAAAGCACAAAGTCCCACAAAATAAATGATCTAATAAACAGCCCGGAAAATGCACAAAAGTTTCTCCTCAAAGAGAAGAACCTTTGTTTAAATTTTCTCTATTTCCTTAGCAACCATCCATATCACTAATCCCTAGAAAAACAGGATATATGAAATACCTTCTGAAGCCCAGCTTCAAATGCTCGTGTAATTTGTGCCAATTAAAACACCCTTTAAGAACATATCAAAATATCCATTAAAAACTTGTTTTCCAAGTTCTATTTTATAATTCTCATACATAGGAAGACACAAAACTTAAGTATACATTCCTTCATTTTTTTATTTCTCTCAATGTTAAATATTAGTGATAAAGAATCTGATCATAGAATACTGAATTCCTAACAACGATTAGAAATGAGAAGCAGTATTGAAAACCTACCTAGGCTGCATTAAATGCCAAGCACAGTCTGAATCAGCACAAGCAGAACATGCAACATTTCAGGATTTAATCAAAGTGATGTGTGATTTAGAGACCTTGTTGTGAACCAGATGTTCTATTCTTGCAACAATTTTGTCACTGTCTTTATATCATCTGTATCAGTAATTTATTTGTTCACTGCTGGAAATAATATACTGTATAATTTTTGGTACCTTACTGTAACTTATTGTGTTTTACAGCTAGTAAAGAATAGAAGCAGATTTCATCTTTAAAGAGTTGGGGTCAGTGACATAATTAGAACTCAACCTGAGTCATCATGTTTAGCAATATTAATTCCTAAAAGTTGTCACAAAGTATTGCAAAAAAAATATTGAACTTTGAAAGGATTTATTTAACATAACTGTTAAAAAGGATTTAATATATTAACTTGTGTTAATGACATGCATAAAAGAAAGTAAGAAACTTTGCCCTAAACTTAGAATAAATTGCCCCACTTGGATATTCTTTTGGAATGTTTCAATTTGGCTGGGTTGGGTTGTTTGTTTGTTTTTTGAAAATTATTGTGGCTAATTTCCAGTTTAATTTGTATCCAGCACACTCCCAGTCAGTCCCTTGACCCCCCCCCCCAAGAGCAAACACAACTGCCATTCAGTTCAGCTAGCAAATATGTATGTAGTTTGAAGTTTGTTTATTAAGCATTAGCTAATGTCAAAAATAGTTAAACATATAGAAAGCAGGCAAAAGCAGGGAAGGGACAACTGGCAAAACATAAAAGAGCAAAAGACTTTGTAAGGACAATCCACATTCTCAGTTCTATCTGTCATAAGGAGATAATTGCTCACTGTTACTCATGTCCTGGTCACAACTTGTAATGCACACTATACCGGGCTCCTTTTGAAGACTATCAGGAAGCTTCTGTTGATGGAGAATGCGGCAGTGTGGGCAGATATGTGTGCCTCTATAATAGTACACATTACACTTCCACTCCAAGAGCTGCATTTGCTGTCAGTTTATTTCTGGGTCCAATTCAAGGAGCTGACTTGGACCTTTAAAGCCCATCATGGCATGGGTTCATGTTATTGCGGAACTGCCTCTTCCCAGTGACATCTGCCTATCTCATCAGATCGGGTAGAAGAATTATGCTGTGGGCCCCACAACTACAGAGTTACATCTGGTGGGACTGGAAGATGAGCCTTTTTCTCATGGCATCCACTCTGTGGTTTCCCCCCCCCCCCAAACACTTGGCTGTTCTCTGCTCATTCCCTGCCATCCTTCCAGAAATCCCTCAGCACTTGGCTGTTACAACAGGTGCCTGGGGTGGTTCCCCTGTTCATAACATCCAGTGCTCTTGCCTAGCCCTCTTAA